TTGACGACTCTACATGTTTGGACGTTACAACGTCATCCTCAGTGTATATATATATATATGTGTGTGTGTGTGTGTGCCTGCGTGCTTGATCTTATTACTTTATGTATTAAAAATTTCTTCAAACAACATGGATTAGTTTCAGATATTGGTACATTCATTTCTCAATAAACCAGTTGAATTTCTTACTTTTATGATTCTTACTTTAATAAGAAAATGTAAAAGGCTTTTTTAGTTTCCATATTTATAACAACTCTTTGTGCTCATCGTTTGTTATTAAGCACAAAGTTGCACAACAGTTGTCTTTCCTGTGCCAACCACAGGTATCGAATCCCGATTTTTAGCGCTATAAGCCCTCGAGTTCACTGCTAGGAAGTCGAAAGGGAGTTTGCTGCTCTTAAGGACTGTAAAACGTTTTGATATACCTATAGGTGCTTACAATTTTCCCAGTGTTGCTAAGTTATATCGATATATTTTCTGGAAGCTCATTTATGAAAAAAGCCTTACGTTCAGATTATTTTATGTTAACGTAAAGATATACATTGATGTGTTAATTAGTTTTAATAATAATAGTAATATTATTCCTGGCATATATTTATCCTGCTGAATTTGAATATTTGATAATCTGCGTTACCCATTTTTAACAAAAACAAAAACAACGATTCTCTTCATATAAATATGTTTTATGAACATTGGAATTTTTTTTTGTAAATATATGAACTTCTTTCACCTAATAGTAGCATTGCTTCATTTTATACAAAAATTCTATCATTTCTCATACGTTTGGATATTGCAGAATCTGTAATAAATTGGACTATCTTATTTCTAATGTAAACCTTTTAGTCACGCGAATTAAACATTATGGTTTTAACAACATTCTCTATTGACAATTTTGTTATTTCAAAATAATTCATACAACTAGCTAATTACTTTAACAGCTTGTAACAGGAATTAAGGAATAATTGTTACTTCTCTTTTTTGATAATAATTACAAGGAAAAAAAATACTAGGGTCAGATTCGAACGCCGACCCCCCTCCGAAAGGCTTTAAAGGCATAAGCCAGGTTTGGTGACATTCTGTCCATCGGTTCGCCAGATATTAGCGGATGCACACAGAGAGAGACCTTTGCCAACTAATAGTTTAGATTGAGCTAGACATAAATGAACATAGAAGCATTTGACAAATATGGGACCTGGAATGCAAACGTTTGGAGCTAAGGTTTAACTGTGACTCCAGATGTGTGTTTGTAGTAACCTATTGTTATATAAATATATTCGTTTTCTTATATTGCCTTCCTTGTAGAATGATAAATGGTAGTTTTAGATGTGGGAATACTGGACTTCAGGACCTACTGCTACTAATTATTTTATTTCTCATTTTAAATCACATGTTAGGTTTACGAAGTTAAATGTTAAATCTGTATATACAGTTGTGTAGATCCAAATTTTATGAATACATTTTCTTTTCCCATATTGTAATTTGTATACACTTTTTGCTTTTAGACATAATTGTCTGAGATATTTTAAAACAGTATCATCCAAAGTAAATATGTTCTGTTGTTACAAGCTCGCTTACCTATAAATTATAAAATTGTCACAACTGTTGTGTTATATATATATATATATATTTGTGTGTGTATTATAAATAGTTAGTAGGGTAGGGTATTAACACAAATCATTTACAGCAATAATCCGGCTATTTCCTTGTATTTTGAATATTTTAAAGCCTTCATTCTCATCATTTCTTGAACTAACCATTTTCGGTGATAGCGTTATCAGTTACGATCGATGAAAGACGGTTTTTCACTGAAGCTATATCTCAAGCTCAAGGACCAAAAGATTTATCCTCAGCATATGAACGTGAACTCGAAAGTAATCATTATTAGTCTGATCCTATAGACGTACATTCAAGATTACTCATTTTATAAGTCAGTAACTATATGCCTGTTTAAAAACATTTTTTATCACAGGAATAACCTACAGTACTATTTCTCATATTTATATGATCCAGCTGCAAGTGACGAGAATAAGACTACATTAATTGGGGACTTGCACTGAGAGCCCATGGAGAAGACAGTGTCCTTAAATTTTCCAATTTCTAATTAAGATGTTTGGAGTTCACCCGGTCAGTTACAAGAGCTAAAACAAGAAAGCTCGGGCAGGTTTCTCCGTGTCTACTAGGGACAGGTTCCTAAAATATAAAAACACAAATTGGAACTTTAATATAGATGTTTGTGGATTAGCTATATATTCGATAGTCTTCTCTGCGCAAGTTTGAGCTTCGCCACCGTTCTAAATCAAATAGTTATAACTGATATTAATGTCTACTTAAAGACTTTGTAACCCCTAAACGATGGTAATGGTAAGCATAATTACAATATAGCAAGAAAATTGTGACTCTTTAACGCTAGAAATCTTTCAGGATTGGAAGTAGTTTTAGCATTTGGAGCTCTCTGCTTCCGCACCTAATATTTCTATAAGACGATCCTTATGCTTCTATCTCTCTTCTTAACGTACATCATACCTGATCAAAGCAATGTTTTAATATAGTAGGTGTCTAAAAGCGCTTGATTTTATTTTGCTTTAACGTATCTACAAATCAAAAAAAGTGCTCATATATATATATATACTTGTGTTGGAACCATACTTAGTCATAAGAAAGGATTTACAATCCGGAGCCTTAGTTTCAATAATTAGCGTTATTGATAACTTGTAGATTTAATGACTATATGTAAATTCTGTATATAAAGTTCAAGTTTTATAGTTTTTAGCTGACATTGTTTGTTTTTACTTCATTTAGAGAAGAAAGAACAAGAAGTGAAAAGTCTATGAAAACGAATGGTTAGCCTATTTGATGGAATTAGTCAAATGACATGTAATGGTCAGAACTCGTCAAACGGCCTTCCATTTTTTGGCCAGTCCTGTTGGGATAATTCTGGTTCGCTGGTTACCGTTACACCCGGAGCTACGGAAGTCATCAAAGCTGTCTGGATTATTTTTGCTACCATAGCGATTCTGACGTTGAATATTCTAATGATTGTTGTACTTCACAGTCGAAATCATTCTCGCTACCTTAGGCAACAACCAAGGATGTTCATGACGTCATTAGCCTGTACTGACCTCGCTGTTGGACTTTTTGTGACACCCTTCAGCGTGTTTCCTGCCCTCTACCGGTGCTGGCCTTTCGGTCGTTTTCTTTGTGCAATGGAAGCTTTGCTCATTTCGGCCTTGTTCCACGAATCAACTTTAGCTTTGATGTGTGTAGCTATAGATCGATACATCTGTATCGTCTTCCCCTTGCAATATCACACGTGGATGACTAGAAAGGTTTTAACCTCGTTCTCATATCACAATAACTACACTTCAAATAAAGCGTGTTGAAATGGTGTAACATTCGTAAAACGTTGTTAAGATATCATACTGATTTGATTTGTTAGTAATAGGGATTAAAATTTTGTTGCGGTGATGAAACTTTTTCTACTACGAATTTTAAGGTACAACGTTCAGATGAATAACAGTCAAATATTTCGTATGTATTAAATATTTGAAAGTAGCGAATTTCTTTTTAATTGTTACGTAGTTCCAAAATATTATTTGTACTTATTTGTTCATCAGAAACTTTGTATACAGACTTCAAACAACCAGTTGATAATGGCTATCTTTTATCTTCAGTAACCTGCTAGTTATACATGTTGGCCTAGCACGGCCTGGTGGTTATGGCAGTCGACTTTCAATCTGTGGATTTCGGGTTCGAATCTCACCATCGAACATGTTCGCCCTTTCAGCCGTAGAGGCATTATAATGTGTCAATCAATCCCACTTTTCGTTGGTCAAGAGCATCGTAAGAATTGGTGGTGGGTGTTATTGACTAACTAACTAACTGCCTTTCCTTTAGTCTATCTCTTCTAAATTAGGGAGCGCTAATGCAAATAGCCATCGAGCAGCTTTGCAGAATTGCAATAAACAAACAACTAATTATAGGTAACTTTTGTACCAGCAGCAAGTTACTTGTTACTATTGACTTGTATTTTCAGAAATCTGCTTGTTATAACTGATTCGCAACTCCAATAAGTTGCTGATTATGACCGCCTTGTGTTTCTAACAAGTTGATGATTTGTACCATCAGCAAGCTGCTGGTTATGACTGAATAGGTATAATATAGATACTGATAAGAGAACTGTGTGACAGTACTATGCAGGTTATACATGAGCCACTATATCATACATTCTTGAAAAGATTAGATCACATATAACACCAGCAAAAATAATAATTTCTTCTGACTTTTATGCTATTTATGCTGCTACTGTCAACAAGTAGCCTTTTCTTGACATAAGATACCCAGCATTAAATTCTTCGAAAATATAGTGAAATTAAATTTACTAATACAGTTCTTAGTGAATAGTAAATTACGTTACTTTATTTGTTTTGAACAAATTTCTTTTCTGTTTCAGGTCTGCCTGCTAATGATTCTCAGTTCATGGTTTTTTTCGGTAACTGCTTATTGTATAATGATTTATCCTTCTGGTGACTATTACTTTGACACTGATGGGATTCAGGTGTGTGAACCGTACTACGCCAACAAAACCATCATTATTCTGGCGTGTACCTTGTTTTTCTTCCCTCCTTTAGTCATCATCCTGTTTTGCTATGTCGCAATCTTATATATAGCACGCAAGCAAATAAGGACAGTGTATGTGGCGCCATCTACCATTGATGATAATATACGTCGATGCAGCAGTGTGCAAGAGGTGAGTTTAAATTTTGCAACTTGAGTTTTGCTAGAAACGGTTGCTCCCTGATTGTGGAAAAGGTTATAATTTTCAAGATATTTAGAATTTCATTCTAAATCTTCATTAAAATTATATATGAAAAAATAAATGTCAGAAGAGTTTATCGAATAATAATATTTAAAACTTCCACAAGATGTCTCTCCAATATTTTTTATAGAAATAATAATATATATTTTTAATACCTTAAACGGCAAACAAACAAGCCTACAAATATTTACCATATCAACTTATAAACATTCAATAGCTCCTAGTAAGTTTAATCTTTGCTCATTAAATAAATTATTTTCATAGTTAAATTATCAAACACATGAGGACTAAAAGAATGAAAAAAAAACGAAATGTGACAATTTTTCAATAAAAATAATTCCATCTATATTGAAGAATATTTCACTTATTGTTTAACCATACCATTTTAATGTTGTTGTTTTTTTCATGTAAACAGAACAAAACACTCCCTATTTTATAAAATATTATTTGTTTTCTTTTAAGCACGCCCCCATCTCTGGTGCTTTAGCAGTTAGGATAATGGCTTATAACGTTAAATAGTGAATTTCGATATCCCACTGGGCAAAGCACAGATAACCCATTGTGCAGTTTTGCGCTGAACAACAAACAAATAAAATATTTTAAACATAACACCACACAATAGAATATCTGGGCTGTGCCTACCACAGGGATCGAACCACTAATTCTAACGTTATAAGCGTTATTTTATATATGAACATCAGTTGAATAAAGTGTATTTTGCATCATGAGAAAAAGTAAGGTCTAATTGTTACATGACAGTAGTAGCTCACTATGATAACGAATGCTACTAAGAAGAAATAATTTTCTGAGGGAGAAATAAATTAAATATATTTTTCAAAACGGCTAAATTGAAGTAAAAAGAAAAATCTAATTAAGTACAACGACTTTTAACCAATATTAAATAGTCAGTAGCATTTTACCACTCACCATCTTCCATAAGAACTGACTGTCACTCTTAACTTCGAAAAGTAGGTTGTGGTATCGCATGGATTCGAACCTAGCTCGTTAGCTTCAAAATCCACGTGTTTACCAGAAAGGTATGGAATTATCTGAAATCGGCCTAGCCCAGTGACATATCAAATATCAGAAATTTACACATTTTGTTGATGAAGGGCTAAAACAACGTTTTCTCAAAGAGATTGTAACAAAACCAAACTGCTTCACTAACGATACTCGCTCTTTTAATAAACAAACGAATATGCGCTACTTGTGGTGAGTACAGGAAGTTATAATTGTCATAAACACGTATTTACGTTCTTTCCTATATATCTTTTTCATTAGCTTACTTTACATCTATGCTCTGTTAAACACTATCATTTCATTCCAGGCTCAGACCAGCGATTTGTTAAATACAATCAATTTACATTACTTTTTTTTTAGCTGTTTGGTATACATTTTTTTTCCTAAATAGTAGTTCTACTGGTGTAGATTTATAGATATTCCATTAGGCTATAGTGATACCATGAAGAAGCGAGCTTTACAACGAGAAAATGGCAAAATAAGAGAAGTATAGACTGTCTCAACAGAGAAAATAAGTAAAGAAACGAGGATCAAAATTATGTGGGCGAAAAATGAACCGGTAATCGGTAGGATCAATTTTAATTCTTCTTCAAAGTAAGACAGATCGCGATAGATCAGAAAGCTTTGACATTGTTAACTGTGTTGCTTTAAACTGCTAAATTATAAACTTCTCAACGTTGGCTAGAGTCCGGGCTCTGAAGACTAACTACTAGTAATTTGGGTGAAATAGTGCAAGGATATGCATAAGCCAGCAAAGAGGATAACAAATGCAACAGCGTTAAGATCTCCAGCTTTTCTGTATGGTAGAATGTATGAAAGTGTAGTATTAGAAAAATATGAAAAAGCCACTGGAGTAAAGGCAAAGATATTTGAAATTTATGTTTACACAATGTACCCATAATAACTTGCCACACCTGGCCGAAATGGTTGATGACATTACTCTATTGGACATTAAATGTCCTCAGAGTACATCTTCTGTAAGCTATCTTATATTAAATGAACATATCATACTGCAGCTAGCGGCCAGGTGGTTAGGACGCTCGACTAGCAATCCCCGTCCCACCAAACATGCTCGCCCTTTCAGCCGTAGGGGCGTTACCATGTGACGGTCAATCCCACTATTCGTTGGTAAAAGAGTAGCCCAAGAGTTGGCGGTTGGGGGGTGATGACTAGCTGCCTTCCCTCTAGTCTTACACTGCTAAATTAGGGACGGCTAGCGCAGGTAGCCCTCGTGTAGCTTTGCGCGAAGTTTAAAACAAACAAATACTGCAGCTAGATTACAACCATCAATACCACTTCCATGCTCAAGGTAAACTTTTGTGTTCCAAATAAACAAGGTAAAAGTTTGTTGTGTGTGTAACAGCAAGATTTTAAAATTATGAAATGTTGGGGAAGAAAACTCGCTTTTATAAAAACTATTTTATATATCTGCTGTTCTGGGTGGGTAATTTTACAACAGGTACGAGTATAGTTTTGACTAAATGTATTCTATTAAATAAAAGTAATAATATTTCACATCAAGTTTTAAGAAGACACATAAGAATTACACCCAGTACTTCTGTTTTACTAAGTTGTTTATTAGTCATATTTTTATGCACTTTTTGTTACAATGCACTGTTTGAAATTACGTAATATTCATAATACTGTTAATATTTCAGTGACTAGTCCCGACTCAAAATGATTCATTGTTGTATTACTCCTCCCCTTTTCGGACTACTTGAAATTTGAATTCAAAGTTTCAATCTTTTTTTGTTTGAGCTTGGATATTATTACATCCCGGTACAAAACACGTGATAGACAGTGTTTAAACTAATACAGTTTTTAAGCTGCTTAATACTTCTTTAAAATTGTGAAATTTTGCTCTATGTTACAACTACTACTATAATACAGCATATAATCCAATTGATTTATAGCGCCCCCAATTGGATAGCTGTGTGAAGATAAACCCTGTTGTTCTACGTCATCACTGACATTCGAAGATTCGCAATAAGGTTTCACCAAATCTGTTGGCTATTAGCAACAGTTGAATCAACATAGATTCGATATTTAAAACTATTTGTCGTGCAATGTTTTAACATCGTCAAGATAGGCAATGAAGGCTAAGGGGTTCTGTAACATGATTTTGCACAAAACAGAATAATGAGGTAAGCTTAAAAACCATTTAAAGTTCGTATTTGCTGAAAAAAGAAGAAGAAAATAAACTTGATTTCTCAAAAGGTTATTAAATCGGATTTAAATAATTATAGAATATTTTGAAAATCATAAAACATTGTTCAACTATTCATAAATATATAATTTTAATTTGATAATAAACGAAAATAATATACAAAGGCTCGTATTTGTTAATTTTCTCGCAAAGCTATTCAAGCGATATCTGCATTACCAACCCCCGCCAACTCTTGAGCTACCTTTTATCAACTGACAGTGAGATTGACCGTCATATTATAACGCTTCGACAGCTGAAAGGAAGAGTGTGTTCTGATACGGGTTTCCAACCCTCGCCCCGCCGGTTGCATGCTAGTCGAGTGCAGTAACCATCAGGCTGTGAAGGTTAATGTATACAAAGAATATTTTATTACGTATAAAATAGAGAAATATGGAAAAGCAAAGTTCCTTGGTGACTTATGACACTAGAACTTTGGGTTCGATCCCCGCGGCGAACACATTGCAATGCTATTTTCGAGTTGAAATTCTCAATATCTTTTCTCGTTAATGGAAAACGTGGATGTACCTTTATTGAATTGCTGTCCTTGTCTCTAACATCAGAGGTTCGATTTCCTGCTTTGGACAAAACGTAGATAGTCCACTGTATAGCTTCGTGTTAAAAAAACAATAACAAAAACAGCTGTTCTTTAAGACCTTTTTTGTTGGTTATTAGATAAACATTTTGGTAGAAGGGGGAGGAGCTAAAGAAGAAAGATATTCGAAAGAAAAATGAAAGTATATTTTCTTGTCTGATGATGAATTTTATAATAATAACATGACTTTGTTATTACACCTGTTATAAGACGTATTTGATTTCTACTGGCGAATACCGTGCACGATTAAACAGAGAAATTTTTCTAAATAATAGTTGATTTAAATATAACATTGCTATTTTTTTTTCTGGAGAAAATGAAGATTCGAAACATAATTTTTAAATTATAAAGTTATTATTTTTGGATCATAAGTAAAGTCATCATTATCACATATTTTTATCGAATGCTAAATTAGTAAGAAATAATAAAAGACACAAAAATTGACCCAGTTATTTTTCATATAATAATTATATCAAACTTATCAGTCGGATATGTCACAAAGATAAACTGTTTGTTGTATTAATTTAATTATTTATGTGAGGTGAAGAACTATGTTAACCCTGTTTTCAGTTTTCTGTCATCTATCTCAGGCAGAAGACTTAATGGTTTTATTTTGTTAATGTCGTTATTTTTTATTTTAATTTCTATTAGTTGTTTTCTTGTTTGTTATTAAGCACAAAGATACACACTAAACGCGTATTATCGATTTTTAGTGTTATAAGCCGTCAGGTTTACCGCTGAGCCACCAGGGGGTCAGTTTCTATACGAAAATAAATGTAAAAATATTGTTTGTTTGATAGTTTGTTTTAGAGCAAAGCCACATTGGGATATCTTTTGTGGCCGTCGCGGGGAATCGAACCCTAGATTTTAGTGTTTTAAGTCCATAAACTTAACGCTGTCCCACTGGGGACGTAAAAAGATAATGTTTTTGGAGGAAAACCAAATACTTGTCATCACAGTAACTAAAGCATTTCTAGAATTATTTCGCTAACGCCTGGTTTCATTCTTACTTAAAATATTATTATTATTATAAAACTCTAACAGTATTCAGATTTAGTATGTTTATTTTTTATTATTTTGTAGATTCAAACGAAAGAGAAGATTAGAAACTACCGATCAGCATTAACAGTGGCTGCGATAGCTTTAGGCTTCGTGGCTGGAGTGACTCCTTGGACGATGACGCAACTCATTACGTCAGTTCTTGAAAGCTCGCCCTCTAGTGACTTGGAGTTTACCGTCACTTGGATTGCTGTCAGCAACAGTTTTTGGAATCCGATAATTTACGGTGTACTTAATAAATCGTTTAGGTCAATAGCTTTGGATATCCTACGTAGAATGTTTTGGAAGGCACAGCCTTCTTTTGATCCAACTGCCATGGCAACCAATGCTCATCTGGAAACACATGGAAGATAGTATCTTTTTCGCAATGAGTACACTTATCGAACGTTATTAATTGTTTCCGTATCTTTTTTTATGCTGCAAATTAAATAAAATTCTGCTGTCATGAGAAAAAATATTTGTGCCATACACATATATATTTTGTAAGCCACTATTTTTGAAAATAAGGGAAAATATGTAACAAATTATCGTATAAAACTATTTTACTTACTCTACATTCGCTTACAAACTGCCTAAATAATGAGTGGATTACAAGAAATATGATTATTGTCGCACAAACTGAAATACCTTAATTTTAATCTTATTACAATTTGCAAGCAAGTTAGGAGTATGTCAAAGAAAAACCTAAACAAAAACACAGTGAATTTCTTATTTCTTAGACTGTTAACTTCTAGTTACAAACAAAAACGTTCGAAATGTCTCTCTAATAATATTAGGTTAACACGGTAGAATATAAAATGATGTGTTAAAATTAAAATGTAATAAATAATAATGTATTATTAAATCTTACCCTAAAATCTGATTTGTATGTGAATTAAGTAAAACTTATAATAATTGCAATTTATTCTCTTAATCTGGTTCACACTATAACAGTCGTTGCTCATGAAAATTAGATGATATATGTATATATATATATATATATATACATACACGTATAGGACTAAATTACCATTATATCTCATACACCCCAGCTGACCTGATGAATCTGGTTTTGGACGAAAGGCTTTGTCGGTACTGGATGTGGCAGATGTAGTTTGGTTGACATATTATAACATATTCTTCTTTAATTACGTTCATGATAAGTGAGAACACTTATCCCTAAAGTGTAAAGTTAATCGTATAGGAAATAGTGACTGTTTTGGTCATCACAGTGTCCCACTGGTGATAGAATTCAGTAACATTTCAACGGTAATTTAGTATTAGAACCCTCAAACATTTTGTGCTCATCCGTTTGTGAGATAGCAAGTTCCATTTTTTTGTTTTATCATTATGTTTATCCCTCATTTATTATTTCATTCTATCGTTTAGATTATCTATAAATTTTTAGTTGCATTTTGTATTATATTTAGTTCTTTTGTATTTTGAGTAAATATGTATGAATGATGAAACTGACACCAGCTTCCCTAGCGGTGACATACACATACTATAAATGTAGCAGAAGAGTATGTAAATTTATGGTCACATGAGGTTGTACTCTCGTGACCTACTTTGTGAATAAATACCCTACCAGAAACTTCACTAGAGAGACATTTATTTATTTATGGCTGTTTATTACTCGATGTGTTATTGAAAAGTATTTTTGGGATATTGTACTTGCTGTATTTTTTCTTCTTCTTTTTGGTTGTCTTTCCTGTTTCTGTTAGTTGAAATAATATCGATTTATTAATATTGGTGTGAAGTACTGACTAGGCACTTGCTTATTAGCTTTGTTTTGGTAAGTGTTGAATTTATTTCTTAGTGTTGTTATTGTTGAATAAATGGTTTGTTGTTGTTGAGCCCTGATTGTAGCGGCGTGTTCATTTTAGACAATTACATTGGCGCCAAACGGGGACCTTTTTCGTAACTTTGGATTTTTCTATTTCTGTTTCTCGACTTTGTATGGAGTGGTTAATTCAACAATAATTTAAGCTCTGTTAATTATAAGTTAACTAGTGTTTGAAAATAACTGTTACTATGGAAGTTAGTGAGTCTGATGTGGCAAGCTTGACGCAGTCTGTGTCGTTACTGAAAGAACGGGTAGAAATGCTAACGCCCATGGTGACTGATCTCCCTCCCCTCAACCACAAACGTTGGGAGTCCATTCCACCTACATACCTGTGGAAAATTAATCGATTTACTTCAGCCCAGTCAATACACCACCACTGCATATTGAGAAGTTTGGCGGTAAGTCGGATTTTAACATCTTTGAGTTTCTTTAAAGTTTAGAAAGACATTTTTATATGTATCAAGTAAGTGATAGTAAATGGGTGGAAATTGCGGCTTCTTGTTTGATGGGAGGGCTATTTGAATGGTGGAAGGCTTTCAGGTCAGACATGGCTTCGGAACGCTGGGGAACATTGACTAATTTGTACCCATCAGTGTTGGATAACATCGAATTGTTTAAGGAAATCTTTAGTAGGATGTACCATGCTAATGCAGGGGAGTTGGTTGATTCGTGGGGAATACTGACTAATTTGTACCTAGCAGTGTTAGATAACATCGAATTGTCTAAGGAAATCTTTAGTAGGATGTACCATGCTAATGCAGGGGAGTTGGTTGATTCGTGGGGAACATTGACTAAGTTGTACTTAGCAGTGTTAGATAACATCGAATTGTCTAAGGAAATCTTTAGTAGGATATACCATGCTAATGTAGGGGAGTCAGTTGAGATGTTTATTTGGAAAAATGTGAACATTTATAAATTATGGATCCCTGAACCTGCATAAAGGACAACTCTGAAGTGTATAATATCACAATTGCACTTTTCTTTACGAGGAGAGTACTTGGAATTTCACTTTGTTATATCTATTGCCGATCTGTTTAAATTTACTAAACAATGTGAGCATCGCTGGAACAACAAACTTTTGTCAGTGGAGTGTTTAAAATTAATCGTCGTAATAGACCTGTGTTATGCAATACTTCTAATCAAATAGAGCGATCTATGTGTTGTCCCAAGAAAATATAATATGTAAACAGGGAACAAAGAAACGGAGAACAGCGGTTGGAAACGGGAGCAGCAATCAAAGAAGGAGGTTTTGAGTCCCGTGAAAATAAAACTATCCAAATAGTTAGGTTGGTACTTGACCATCCAAATGATGCCACCTCACGCTGATTGGCTGTCTGAGGGAGGGGGGAGGGAAGGGAACTTTAAATGATGTCATGATTGGCGTCGTAGTTTTAATCTTTGCCACCAGGTGGCGTGTGATGAATGTATTACTAGGCGGCCATGAACCCATAGTTTCATAAAGTGTCACCAGAGGACACGGCTATCTTAAAGAGGGTTAAAATTATAGTTCGATACTAAATAGGCGGCCATGATGTAATAGAGCCACAAAGTAGAGAACGTGTTTCTAGACCTCCATGACAGACGGCCATGACACTGACTCGCACGATACGTGACTAAAAAGGATGATATCTTAATTAAAACTTGATGTTTAATTATAAATCAATTATTTAAAAATTTCAGTGGCGTGATATTAAATAAAAACATAATAATAAAAAAAATCTGGACACTTTCTTTTAATAATTTATTTTATCACAATAAAAAAAATTTTACAATCTGATATATAAAAAGACGCGTCTATTAAGGACGTATTTACATGAAAACATCACAAAGTTATTTCATGAAATAATTAAAACTTATTGTTTGACTATTTAATTAACAATGAAGTATTTTAAATATTTTCAGTACTAATATATTAGTTAATTACATTTCCTGTTCTAAAAGGACTAACTATATCTTAGTTAAAACTTGCTTCTTTAATTATCAATCAAGTTATTTATTTTCTTACAATAAAGACTTTGTAATCTGATCTACATAAAAAGACACGTCTATTAAGGACGTATTTACATGAAAACGCTTATGTCTATTAATTATCATGACTGTCCGTAGTATTTTAATAATTCGGAACGTATTGCTAGACCATCAGGACAGGACATCAGACAGGCTATCATAGATAATGACATACAAGATTTGTGTCTCAACATGTTTATATTTAATAGGTTTAAATCGACCTAAAAAAAAGGGGCGATTTCATACATTAATTACAATTTATACTTTTATTAATTGGATTTTATATAGCAAAATATTACATTTTGCATCGTCAATAAAAACTCTTATTATGCAATAATTCAAACTTACACTTTCATTAGTTTGAATTTGTTTGACAAATGTTTCGTATTACACGTGTTACTTTATCTTGCACGAGTTTACAAAGGTGGACTTTTTCATATGAACAATGTCAAAAAACCTTGTTATCATTTCTTTGAATGAGATCACAACTTACATTTTACTCGTATTAAATATGATTAATTACTATTATACAATAACAACACTTACCATAAATCTTTGAGGACCACATTAGTGTTCGAATCCGTGTTCTTTTTAACTTTATCACTGAAAGCATACAATCAGGAAATATCCATTTTTACTTGTTGTTTCTCTATTTTCTACTGTACGTTCACAAAACTAACGAACCCATATGATCTCGAACTGATGTCAAACTAACTAAGCCTTGGTACAAAGTTCTTCACAAGTTTTATGGTAACATTGTTTGTCATTTAATAAAACATCGGTTACTGCAATCATTATTGTAAATGTTTATTCTATTAACCTGCATACAATTATAACATACTGTGCACCATAACCTGTTGGCAGTTACTTAAGTTTCAGTGTGCTTGGAATACATTTTTTCAAAATAAAAAGTCGATTCATCACATGATCTCGATCTGAAGTCAAGAGAGTTAAACTTTGATGCAAAGTATGACTTTTGGTTTTAGTTGTAACAGATAAAACTTCCGTTTGAGCGTACGGAAAACTTTTATTAAAATAAAAGTCAATTATAATACACTGTCAATACAATACGAAGAAGCATCTGAATCATCTCGTGCCTATCCTATTGGGAACGATTGTTACATCACTCGATCAACTTACCACAATAATTTGATTACTCGTATTCAACAGTTCAAGGACTTTAGAAAACTATGTCCAACTAAGGAAGGTATCACTTTTTCTTCAACATAACTGAAGGAATTTAAACAGTTGATCTCAAACATTAGTGTTGCTGTACTGAGCAAAACTGAACAAGATTTTCATCTACAAGGATGTAATCCATGTTGCATATGTTAATAATATCCCTCTATATTGTTTACATATCGAGTTGATTATCATGGTATTGATATGTTGCCTGATAAGATTCTCTTTGTTTTATCTAATTCAAAATGGCAGAATTTTGTGCACAAATTTCACATTTTGATACTTGCCTAAACACTATAGTTCGTAATAAAAGTAATTGAATAAATAGGTTAAACCAAATCTTATTAATA